ATGCATGTTGACTTTGTGCATGACTCCTGTGTCTTTTAATTCAATTATTTTGTGCTTAAGATCCTTACACACTGGGAACGATGCAAATATAAGACGCGAAATATTCGGAGGTGAATTTTGACGCGCCTGTAAATACACATCAAGCGCGATGCGATTTTGCGACTTTCCGGGGGGAAAAAAGACGTGTCTCGGGTGGAAGCAAGAAGACTGACACAACATCAGACTGACTGTTTTTCAGTTCTGATTAGACTCTAGTGTTGAGATGTCTGTCTGTCATGATAATACTGAGTCGGGGCCAGTACCAGATAAACACATTAAACTATAATCCATAAACATAAGGTAACAACCGAGACCTAATGGTGCTGTGACAGCAACGCGATTGAGTTTGAGACAGTGAAAATACATATGGTATGTTGTATCTGAACAGGTTAGCTTACGAGCTAAAGTTACTTAGCACAGATGAAAGTTAAAACAAAGACGTTTAGCAAACTGTTAAAGCACACAAACTATCTCATATGAGAAATCCGACGTTATGACTCTCCACAAGTTGTCCTTCAGGTCGTTATCTTTGTAATATTTGTGTCTTTTATCAAAAATCACTCTGTTCTCCGACACATAAACAATCAGCCGGTCGGCCATGTTGGCTATACCGGTGAATCTGACGTCGCAACAACACGAAATCTGATTGGGAATTCAAAAAAAAAAATTCAACCGTGATGCGAAAAAATAAATGCCGCAATATCGCAGGATGGGAAAATGTCGCTGATGTGAACGCTTGTATTGACAGGGTTCGAAAAAAAATACTGGCAGCCGAAATAATCGCACGAAAAACACGCTCCCGGTGTGTTAGGACCTTTGGTATCACAAACTTTGCTCTCCAGTTGTCTGAGCTGATTTCTGATTGTCTCGACTGTAATCAATCCGTGCAGATGTCTGACCACCTATAGTACGTGTCTGATGATTTCTCATGATCAAATCAATTTAACAGTGTGTGGTACAAAGAGCTTAGTTTTGATAGCCGTGCTCACACATGCTAATTCTTCGCTCTATGACCTGAATATCATGCAGCAATTCAAGAACAATAGCTCCTAATACCCTAAGAGCTTAAATGTGATGGATAACCAGTCGAGGGAGTGTGGCAGCTGTGTATTCACGATTGTGTGAATTTAATAGCCTGAAAGTCGACAATTTACTGTTGTATTCCTCTCTCTGTGGAGCTTTGCAGTCGAGCTGTGTGTGAGAGAAAAAAACAAGCAGCTTCAACAGCTCTTTTCCCTCAAGATTGTGATGAATTCCCTGCACTCTCATTAGGCCGCGCTGGTTTGACTGTCCACCGCTCCGGAAAGACAATGGGCCCTAATAGGCTTTGCTAAATGGTCAGAAGCGAGTCAATAGGGGAGAAAGACGAAGTGAGGAGGGGAAAAAACCCTGTCATAAAACAAACAAGAGTGGAGGAGAGCAAGTGTTTCCTGTTTAAGTGGCTGTAAATGGTAGTGGAAGACAATTAACGAGTCTGACCTGGCGGGAAACCAGAGGGTAGGCGGCTGTCAGGTCAGGCCTGGCAGTCTGGACATGTGTGAGCGTGTGTGTTTAACCTCAGCGCCCAGCAGTCACAATAATAAAAGGCTCTCCTGTCATTCAGGTCTCCAAATAGGAGTCCTTCTGTGCCGGTCACAAAGGGGCCATAACAACCTTAATAAGTGCTGCAGGCAACCCTGCTACTGGTAAACTGCCTTCATATCAGTGTGTATGTGTATGTGTGTGGGTTTATAGGAGAAAGAGACACACTGAGATACCAATTATACTGACTATTAGACATTAATTGTGATTCTGATTTAGTGTGACACCCCTAAATACACACTAACAACCCGCAGTAGTGTTATATATATACATAAACAGTCATGTCTCTCCTGGATCGCAATTAACCTTCAGCAAAAAACGGTGATATGGAAGTATGATATTGAGATTTTTGTCGTTCTGTGCAGCACATTTCTGATTTTGCAGTTGTGTTGTTGTTATACAAGGAAGTTCAGGCTCCCTAATGTAATGAATACACCATAACCCTGTATGTAAAACACATTTTCATATAGTAGCACCGTGTTACGCAAAAGGCTACAAACTCACAGCGGGCAATCATGTGTTTTACATAATTTAGAGCGCTGACAAAAATTTCATATCAAGGCCGTTTGCTTTTAGCGGTTGTGAATATTAAGCACGGTTTTTCCTTTCAAACTGTCCCTCAGGCTGCGTATCACCTACATCTACGCGTCATTTTCTTCCCTGGCAGAACGCAGACTTTTCATTTCTGCATATGGAAGTGTGTGTTAACATGCCTGCAGGCAATCCACCAACACAAAGAGATGGTTGATTAAAAGATGGGTGTTGGATGTATAGAGATGCTCCATGAGATACAGCATCCCTGCTGAGACAAAAAAAAACCCTGCTGAAATATACTAGAAGCTGGTTATGTAATCCAGCATGATTATTATTCAGTATGAGTAACAAGAGTTTTCTTTCTAGAAACTACACCCTCCACTCCTCCATGGAAAAAAAAAGAGAAGCATCCTTTGTTTTCTGCAAATCAGAGAGCACCATATGTTTACCTTCAAATTACAAGCCCTTTAGCAACCATCAGGACCAAGAAGAGAGTGGTGTTGAGTTTTTAAGCAGCGACAATGACTGCAGATTGCTGATGTTTGTGTGCCTTGAAGCAGCTGAAATTAAACAGCAGCTCACCCTGTGTAACTCTGTGACTAAAGTATGAGAAATTAACTTTAATCCAATTGAGAAATATTGGCAGTTAAGATCCCATAAAGCTCCATGTTATTTGTCTTGAGCCGGATGAGATTAAGACTGAATTTTTGTAACAAAAATCTTGTAACTATAAGATGAAAATCAATTGCAGGGTCTTTGAGTTTAACTTCTCCATCTGTGAGTAGGCCTAACTTTAAACAAACAGGGGCTTTACATTACTTGCTGTTAGATAGATGGGAGGGAAGTTTGATACCCTCCATTTGTTAAATGATTAATGTCAGGGCCTGAGGTTTAGACCCAGACCATGATTTTGAACAGGGCTGCACTATGCAGATTGTTACATGTGCTGAGCCAGTCAGCTGTCCGATTATGAGGGTGATGCCAGTCAAAACATGATCTGCCTTTTCCTTATGATATCCAGAATCTTGGTAATTATAACTGAGTTTACATTGGCTCAAATAATCGGAATAAAAAAGCGTCATGTAAACATGTTGATCAGAAAATTCTGATCCAATTTGGTTCAATCGTAAAGAAATTGTATTCCAAATGAGAGGGGTGGTTTATGCCGATGCCATGCATAGCGCAACCTTTGACATAACCGTAAAATAAGTAAACAAGGGCGCCATCTAGTGACAATATTTGACAGTCGGGAAAATCCTGTATTGGATGAAGTGAGCCACTACTGCGTTTGTTGGTTTGTTGACAGCACAGTCGTAAATGCAACTCTTCTTCTGCAGATGTTTTAGTTAAATTAGCTAAATATACGCACGTCATGATCGAATTATTTGATTTTGCACCGATTTAGTGGATTCAGATTTTCCGATCCCTCAAAGTTTTAATCGGATCAAGACATTTAGCAAACATGGCTAATGAGACTCTAAACTTTGACAATATAGTATGCTGTTTTCTGAAGGTCAGATTTAAAGCCAAATTACCTGAGACTTTGAACAAACAAGCTGCATAACAGATCAGATTTTGAACATTGTTGTCCTGTCCATGAAACCAGTAAAAATCAAAACATTTGGTACCAGATTGAAGAGTTTGTATTAAAACAGTAGTGGCCACCAGATTACTCCAATCAGGAAACTTCCGTATCGAATAAATCGTTTGATAGCTGCAAATGAAGTTTTCAAAAAACCATCACAGGGGTTAGGTTGTAGTCCTTTTTCATCACCATCTTCTTTTCCACTCGAGGGAGACTTAAATCTGACAGAAGACTCCACATAAAAATGCACTTGGCTAACATTGGATGGATTGCGCTGTGGTTGTTAGTTGCCTGGTCAGGTTGGATCAGAGATATTATGGACATGTTTGAACTACCGTATTAAAATATGGTCCCTACGCTGGATTCCTCTGTGCTGGCTCGGTCTCTACTGACATTAACAGATGCATCTGTTTTCTTTTTTCCTTTCATGTGCACATTTGTTTGCTTCTGTCCGACTGATCGACGTGGACTGATTGTTTAGTCATGCAAAAACACAGCTGAGCTTTTACTCAGAAAATGTGTGCATTTGTCACCGTGCATACATTTACGAGAGGTGCGTAAACATACATAGGCCTGTTTTATCTACCATTTGACATTAATTGTGACGCTGATGCGGTCTGACAGCGGAAGACATGCACACAAACACACGTGTGAGCATGTACCAACAGCTGAATGAACATGCGACTTACAGGCTGTTTGTGAGTGTGTCCTAGAAAACGATTAACCTTGAGCAGAACGAATGGAATTTGGAAGCGGGTTACCGAACAATGCATGCTGAGTAGGGACTCCCTGCTGTGGCTCATTAGTGATGTGCATTACATGATATGTGAATAGGGAATGGTGCCGCAGGTTTGTAAAAACACGAAGGCTTGTACTGTTCAAGAAAATTGGCAATGCTGCTGCACCTTTTCACTGTTCATATAGGAGTCATACTGATGGATGGCCTCCATCAGTATGTATTTTTACAGATAAATATAGATTGTATACCTGTGTTTGGCTATTTGCATTTTAATACTTAGTTTAATACTGACTCGCTCGTCAAATGATTCTTCAGCTTGCTGAATAATTTCAACTGAAGAGCAGGGTGTGAAATTAATGAAAGCTGGGTTGGATGGATGCAGGATATAAGATTAGATGCTGAAGGAGACGGAAAGAGGGCAGGGCAGCTGTCTCAAGTCCATATGGGATTTCCAAGAACTAAATATGGGAGACAGAAGAGGACGTGTGGGGAACAGGGGACAATGAAGAACGAGGGAAAACTCTTTGGCTGAAACAAACAAAGAGGAAAGAATTCAACACTCAGTTTGTGTACTTACACCGTTGAGTGGAGGTTTGGCTAAATGATCAAGAGAATGCGTTAGCGAGAGGCTAACAGATAAAGGACATCACTTTTACAGCTCAGTGCCATTTATTTTTACAGAAGGAAAGTGTTGTCTTTTATTTCATTTCCTTGTTGTGGTAGATTTCATAGATTCAAAAGTGCAAAAATGAACTACACGAAGACAGAATCAAGCCGGCAGCCTCTCGCGGGATTCATTGTAGTTACAGCATCAACCACAGCTCATGACAATCAGACAGACAGCAGAAGCCAAACAATCCCAACCAACCCTAAAACTCTTTTCCTTTTATACACTGTTTTGTGCGCTTCCAGTGTCGTCATTAGTTCTATCTTAAACCTGAAAATGCAAAGAGCGCTTAGGAAGAGAAAATCAACCCCCAGCCACATGATCCAGGTATGTTAATCCGACTGGGGAGTTGCTAGTGCAATTTCAGTCAAACTAATATGTTCGCATGCATTTTCATAGTCTGGTTAAGTTGGACTAAGGCACCAAATTGTAGAGTGACCATACGTCCTCTTTTACCTGGACATGTCCTCTTTTTGGGGGCTGTCAGGCTTTGTCTGAGGAAGTTTAAAAAATCCTTCAAATGTCTGCGGTTTTGTACGAAAGTTTCGAGTTTGTGTCACGTGGACTTACTGAGTAAGAAGCGTATAAAAGACACTTGAGTCAACCTGGAAAAATTCTCAAAATTCACTTCGTGCGACTCTGTGACTCTGCCTCCGCGTAGTCGTGTCCTCTTTTTGGGAGGTCAGAATATGGTCGCCAATATTGGTTCTTTTTAACACCATGTAAGCGTACTGAATGGATGGCCATGATCTGGCTTCAGATCAGATATTTTCTTTTTACAGGGTCTGGTTTTTCAACGTGTTAAGTATTCAGGTATATTGTTTGTAGTCCAAGCAGTACTGAACAGCTATGCGTCAGTGGACTCGAGTGTGTACAGGAAAAATGGTCTGTGTGGAGTAAAGGCAAGCAGATCACTGACAACACACCTCCCATCACTGGTATTATGAGGTTGTTTTTGTTATACTTTCACCATTAGATATCTACATACAAGTGCTGCCAACCATGTGTTCTTAAACAAAATTTAAACTTGACAACTAAAGGAGACGGAAACAAAAATCAAAAAAGAATTTTAATTTCCTGACCACTTCAAATGCACCAGAAATTATGACCCCCATTTGAGAACAGAATATTTTAAAAGCTGTTTTTTCCCCCTCCTCATGAGGGTAGACTCAATCAAGCTTGCAGATTAAATTTTTTTTTTATACATTTAAAACAAACTTTAAAAGCCCCAGCGTTGTTCACTAACAACTGATGTGAAACCTTCAGAAACAGATGAACGACCACGACTGTGGGGAATGTACTTGAACCCAGGATTGATGTTTATATTGCAGACATGAATGGAGAGGCAATGGACCGTTACGGCTCGGATCACACTGACACCAGTTCCCAGGAGCTTATTCCATCATCAGATGATGGTGTACGATGATAGGGTTCTGATATGACCAGTAGATCTTAAGACTCAACCTTTGACAGTGCCACATAGGACTAATTTGTGTTGTGGCTCCAGGTTTCCAAAAAAACTAGCTTTAAGGAAACTAAGAAACACAGAATTTTGATGTTGGCTTATGGTTTTGTGTAGTCCACATCGTCATCCATTTATAATTAACTCAACTCCCAGCTAATACCATCCCTGTTAATTACAGTCATCTCTATCAGAATCATTATACCAACTCACTTTTTTGTTCTTGGTACAAATGAGCTGCAATATGAGCCAGTTTGATCGTAATATAGTAAATTGGATATTTCGTACCTGTAGGCCATCTCTGAATAATGCAGAAGATTATTGCATTATGGAGTTTTAACTGATTTAATGGGATTTATGATTCGTTGTTGTTGAATAATAAGGAGGATTTTAGTAGATTTTCTAACTGTGTGGCCATTTGCACTCAAGTGTAGAATATGTGAGTGTTAGAAACCACCTTTGACGTCCCTCTTATACCAGTAGAGAGGCAGAGTTTGGGCTCAAATAGTGGTATGAATTCAATTGTCATCATATGGATATCATCATCGTCAATGCAGTAGCAGCAGATAACTGTGTTAGATGAGTTTGGCTCAATCTTATCCCATCTTTCTCATGAATCTGTCTAAATAGATGGACTGATTGTGTGTGTGTGTTGGGTTAGGGTTAGGGGGCTTTCACACCTACGTCGTTTGGGCTGGACTTTTCTGTTTAGTCTGGACTTCTGAACACAGCCAGTGTAGCCTATTGAGTTGTCCAAGACAGGAAATGACTAGGAGTAGAAGTGTCCGTTATCATGTTGAATGGAGATGTCCAATATTGCAGATAAAGTTTTACCTCACTACTGACAGCTTATCTTTTCAAGAGTTTTACTACACACTCTTCTCCCTAGCCGGTGTTGAAATGTCTCCCAGGATTGCATACTTTCTTTTCCCTTCCTGTCGATGTCGGTAAAGTCGTCGTCTAATGATTAAAGTCATAAGACTTCCCCGGACCAGACTCATGTACAGCTCCTCAAGTTGTCATTGTTGGAGGTAGAAAATCAAAAATAGTATGATGGTGGGAATGACGATTTCATCCATGTTTACACCATTCAAGACCTGCGGTTTCAACATGTTGACGTCAGACGCACGCCGGCCCAATGACCAATCAATGTAAACCTCAGAGACACACAAAGCAAGTAGTTGATGAAAATATCACGTAGGTTCGTCATGTAAAGTCTGTTAGTCTCTTTTTGGGGGCTGTCCAGGTTTGTCCGGCTTTGTCTGGGGAAGTTTATAAAATCCTTCAAATGTCTGCGGTTTTGTACGTAAGTTTCGAGTTTGTGTCGCGTGTACTTAAGAAGTTAGAAGTGCGTGAAAGACACTTGATCTGACCTGAAAAACTCTCAAAATTAACTTTGTGTGACTCTGTGACTCCGCCCCCGTGTGGTTGTGTCAGAATATAGTCAGAATATGGTCACCCTAATGACAGTGTGAAACCTAAATAGACCAAACCAAATGTAAACAATGCAACAAAAACACCCTAAATGTGTTCATTCTTTCAGACTGGATTTTTCAGCAAAAATCCAACATTGCGCATCCTTGTTACAGATCAATCTCAGACACTGACTCCCAACCTTGCCACTGTGGTTGTTTTAACACCCCTACAGACTCAATGACTGCTTGGTTTAAATGAGGTTTCTAATTGGCTTGACCCTTGTATTGACCAGGAGCTTGTCCGTTGGGAGTCCCTGCTCACTGACCTGTCCATGTTTGTACACCTTCTACCCTTTTACCGAAAAAGGCTTGTTTGGTAGACTAGTCAGAAATGAAGATTGTGCATTCAGTGAGGGGAGCAAAAGTCTGTGCAAGCTAGATTAAAAAAAAAACTCCAAGCACCAGAATACAGGACGTACAAATTGACTGCATATGTATTTTTCAGGCTGAATGAGGTCTGATTTTCTCTGCACAGTCACTTTCAAAGAGCTGATGAAATCTGCATGCAGCTGACTGCCTACTCTTGTTCCTGCCTCTCTCTCTTTTTCTGAACTTCTGGATCAGGCGTCCATGAATGTGTAGGTGAAGTGAAGCACCTAGATCAGATTGACAATCAGAAGCTCTTATAGCTGCGATTGTTGTGATGTGATTGTTTCTCAATGCATAGACAAATTTTGTGCTTTCACGGCATAAAACTACAACATTATAGAAATAACTGGCATATTGAATCATTACAACTGTTGCGTTATTGGTAATTGTGTGAAATAGATTTTCTTTTGTCTGGTGGCTTAGAGTTAATCATATGAGCATGTGTTAGGCTAAACCCTGACACTGGAAATAACATTAATTGATTGCTTTCAGTACTGCGGTTATCACAGTAATTACTGGGTTATGGCAAATGATGATGATTATCAAAAATGCGATCACTGGGTCCAAACTACGATTATGCTTGTCAAGAGGGAAACACATGCTGGATTGGTAAAAACCTAATGCTTTTCTGTAGGAGGCCACCCACATTTATTTGATTGTTGTTTCTGCTCTGAAGTGGGGGCCGGGAGTTTCTTGTTGGGATCTTTTAGAGATGTAGGTGTAGTGGTTTGAGTTTTTGCCAGCGTTGGTTATCACAGTATTGATCTGTGAGGAGAACTTCACTGTTATCTCTTCGTACATCTTCACGTTTATGGTCTTATTCAGATATCCCTCAGCTGGTTATGCGCTGTAGAACTGTTTGCATTTTTATATTTGCACCTTTGTGAATAAAATCGTCATCAGTAAAAATCTGGACTAGAATCAGAATTCATATCGGTTATTCTTTATAGACATTATTTACATCCTCTAGTTACCTCTGCTGGTTTGAATGCAGTTCACTGTCTTTAGATGTATTTAAATAACCCCCATGTAGAATAACTCTCGTGTTTTCAGCATGACATGGACTTTATAAGCCAATAGGATAATGCTGTATATAATAGTCTCATTTGGATGGTTGGTATATGTGAGATATTTCATATATTTTTTTTCTATTTTTCTATCAAAAAGGTTTCTATCAAATAATGTTTTCATCTTGGAACTAGGCTGTGACCATAGACTGTATATAGAACAGACAGCGTCTGCCTGAAGCCACCACGAGAACAGCACCCTCTGGTGACCGGCTGCAGTATAGGCCATAAATCCCGCCTCCTCCAGCAATCCCTGTGGAGCTGTGGACAAACTTTAGAAATGAATTACACAGAATATAAATGTTTCTCCCCCCTGGTTGGGATGTTGACATGTAGTTACTGTCAGACTGATTTGTGCTCAAGTCCTCTTTTTTATGTACAGCTCCATTTTTTAAAGTTATTGGGGGTTCATGTTTTCTATGATTGAAACTTGATACAGCCTATTGGCGTACAAAGATTATGGAGCAGAGCGTCATCAGAGGTATGGCAGAGAAAGAATTCCTCTTGGCTTAATACTGTGGTGTGCGACAATATTGCACCACCCTTTACTTAAAATATAATAAACAAATCGGCAAGTTAGGTTCATCTGTTAATAGGTAGATAATCGAGTTCCTGTTTTTTTAATCAATAATGTGGATGAAAATTTACAAAAGGATGATCAAACTCTCTTATATCTCGGTTTTCTTCAGTATTCTTATTTTTTTGGTCACTTGACTTCACTGCAGGAGTGTTGCACTGTGGCAGCAGACAGTATCCGCACTGTCATCTAAAATAATGAGATCTATCCATATTATTGAATACTTGAATAATCAAGGTTAGTTTTTTTAGTTTAAGTTTATTTATTTATGTCATTCATTTATCGAGCATAAAATTAAAAATAAAACTCATAAAAAAAGACAATACTGTAACTCTTGAATCGACCTTATGACTTACAGGTACGGCTAACAAATTGATGCAATGGTCCTTTAAATCGATTTTTCCCCCCATTGACAGTCCTGCTCATTGATCCCCCAATGCAATGACAAAATGCATTCAAATATCCTTGCAGAGACATCATCAATATGCCCACTCTGCCTGGTTTGGACTGACTGCTTCTTGCAGCTGGTGCAGGCCTTTTGAAAGTGTGAAACAGGGACCAAGGGAGAGGCAAAATTGTCTTCAGATGCATGCCAAAACCAACCTGCCAACATAGACACAGGTGGCAGAATCCAAACCGTATTCTCTCCAGTGCGACAGCTGTGCTAGGAGACAGAGAGAGACAACACAGCCAACAGTGGAGCCAGTGATTCAGAGAGGTCTGAACAGTTCAAGGAAACACAGGTCTCTCATCCTTCTTTTTCTTATTATCCATCCACCTGCACGGAAATGCCTCAGTATTTACAGAATCGCATGTTTTGTGATGAACTGTAATTACGAAATTGAAGGACAAAGACTGTAATTTTCTCTTGTGTACCAACACAATCAGACAGATTTAATCATGGACTTCTCTTTCATACATCTGGTCTTTCATAACAGCCACGTGTCCAAAACCTCTCACCCTTTTTCAAATGAAACACCCCCCCCTTTGGCTGAAGAGCTGGCTTCTTCTGTCATGCTCTCGGTATTGGATGTAACACTTCCGCTGCATGTTCACATGACTAAACATGCTCCAAACTGTTCCATATGGACATCTGTGGGGGCTCAGGAGTGTGTGCAAGAAGAAAATTAACTTTTTTTTTTTATTGGTTTGGACATCAATCTTGTGTCCACGCTTTGCTCTCTCATAAAATACCAGGTCACCAGACAGACACTGCATGAATATGCTCTGATATTTATGAGCATGAGAAAGATCTTGGGCTCTGTCCTGCTAGTGCACAACTCTTCTGGGGGAAAGTGAAGTGCAGAAGTAAATTAAAAAGTGTCTGCGCTGTATATTCATATTCAATCCAACGTCTGCTGTGGGTGTTGTCTCATTTCACCTTCTCAATAATCTGTGGTTTATATCCGTCATATTTGTCTTTCATATCTGAGGGAAAAGGCGGTTGAAGAGTTTAGATTTCCCTGTCTCTCTATTTCTCTCCCTAACACACTTGTTTCCGAAGTGTGATGTCTCGCTTTATATTCCAAAGACGCCCTTTTTTTCACTCCCTCCTCACAAATAATCCTCGGCTTCTCTGTCCATTTTTGTTCACGGTACATTCTGAGCAGGAATAAATGTGACACTTCTGTGTTTTTCTGTCATGGTTAGCTGTCTAGTCTTAAATTTCTACATCCCCGTTCCTGTCTTTTAGTGTCACTTTCGAGCCGCTCCTGCTGCTAGAAAGTGCTGCCCATAGAATGGTTGGCATGCTGTTTGAAAACAGACATAAAAAATATTGGTACACCCATAACTACATGTCAGCTTTCCCCCTGAATTCTTTCTTAAGGGCTGCTTTTACTGCATGTCTCATTTCAAACATACTATACCTCACTTCATCCTGCTCCCCACTGCTCCTGCTGCCTCTTTTTCTACAAATAACTGAGTCTGAGAAAGTGAGCTGCACGTCTCCTCTTCCTCTTTTAACCTTTTTTTGTGCTCCTCGCTATGCCCCTTGCCTGTGGGGAGTCTCTTCAGTCACCCAGACCTAGGACACCTCCCGACAAGGTCACTGAGGTCTGCCACTCAGAGATTAAAACAGCCCCATCCATCCAGAGACTTCCCCCTCCAGGCGGCCATTATCATAGCAGATCGCCATGCCAAAAATCTCAAATAGATATGTAGTGCACAGGCGGCGACCTTCCAATAGACTGCTGTCATTTTTCTCGCTGTCTTGCGAGGCGGCGATGGTCTGCGGCTTTAATGTCCCCCCCTCTTCTCTTTCATGTAGATATATGGTGTTTTCAGCGAGAGTGGAGTTCATGGTTTCATGCCGTGTCCACAAATGAGGTCTGTGGTAAGAAAGAAAGGGTCACTTGACAGAAAAGATATACCATACCCTCCAATCAGCTCATGGATTGTTTGTGTGTTCTTATTCGAGGCCAACAGCAGGACTGGGCAGGCAGCCCCCCAAAGGTTTCACACAAACACAGCTGTCAGAGCTGCCTCACAACCCTTATTAGTGCTTATTAGTGCACACGCGTTTGCTTGTGTGGGTTTTTGTTGACTTGTCCACAGTGGGGGATTAACAGAGCAGGCTGGTTTTGAGGTTTCTTACCACTCAAACTTATATTTACCAAGTGTTACTTCTCCTTTAAGTCTGTTTTGATATCGAGATAAAAACAGAAACACATCCCAGACACTAGAGCGCTACAATACTGCGCTTTTATTATTACCTCCTATAAACAATGATGGACGTTATATACCGTATATATATATATACTGTTGCTTATCTACCCTTCTTTGACTGCTGTGTTACTTTGAGCTCATTGAAAAGATAAACAAAAAGCATAAACCCACAAGCAGCACTTGATTTCAGGAAATATTTATATCCGATAACTCATGTTTATTAGGTTGTATATTATACCTCCAGCTCAATGCTACAATCCCTCCTGCAGCTATAAAGCAATCAAACAGAGAACAACTGTGTAAAACCTGACCCGGGGTTTTCTCATGCAGGGACCACGAGTAAAGAC